CTGCACCCTAAAGAACCAACCTTTTTAGGGCTCCTTATTAGGATTTCTTTATTCAAGTATTTACGAAGGTGGGTTATTTGGGGTTAGGCTAAGAGTTAGAACCGGGTTTTGGGGGCCAGTATACTACAGTTAGGATCAGGAACAAAAGAGTATATAGGTCATTACGGCCCCTATGTTATATTACCTCATGCTTGGATCCTGGAACCTTAGCCTTAGGGTGATCCCCTGCACCCCGAATACGAAACCCTACGTCAACAACCTCGCAGAAGGCCGAAATCCCTGCCCTTACCCTCAAAGGACTCATGTGTTGAGGATTTTGGGCCCAGATACCCTATCCCAAACTCCCAAAAGGATCTAAAAATAGATCCCCTAACAGGGTTCCTATAAAGTACCCTTTAGTATTTAGGGTCCCTAATTAGGGGATCATTTTGTTGAAATCCTTTTGGGGGTCTGGGATTATATAAGGCTGTACAACGCCAGCAAGCAACAGGAACTTAATTGAAACTAGCATAATACGGCTCGACAGGTGAAGGACATCTTTCTGAAGGTTCCGCGCTAGCCCCTAAACCCTAAACCCCTAAACCCTAAACCATAATAAGGAATCGACCATGATTCCCATAGTTTAGGCTCCTTAAGGTAATGCAGGGTTTGTATTATCAACCGTATCTATGTCGGTTCTGTTCAGGGTTTCTATAAGGGGTTTGGGGTCCTAGGTGTTGTTCTGGGGGATAGTTTCCCTAATCAGAATAGCGATTCCAATGACACAGGTGCTGTTCTGGGGGATACTTTCCCTAATCAGGATCGCGACCCAAATATAGAAACCAGGAACTCCACTATGTTAGGCACTTAGGACGCTTTGGGACAACGCCAAGATTCCTATACAGTCCAATATGGCGGTTCACGAATGGAACACCCTAAACCCTAAACCCTAAACACGCACCGGAGAGCGTACTCAGGTCATTGAATGTAGCTATTAGGGAGGGTTTAGGGTTTAGGGCTTAGGGTTCATTAG